GTAACATTTGTTTTAATGTATGAAATTGTAGTATGCTACCGTATTGCTCTTGTATAGCCCCTGAGCTTCTCGGTTATTTTCATTATTCCCTTTTGTTTGATCTTTTATTGTTACTGTTTTAAGCTACATATTGCTGAAGTGCAACTATGGGCATATGATGGACATTATGCAATAGATGCCTTCCTGTTTTCTGTATACAGGTTTTCTTCAACACAGAGATTTTTCAAAGAAGTCCTCTTTCTCACCGCCGCTGAGTTTTGGTCCATATTCAGTTACTGATGTGCTCGACTGCTGGAACAACCTGGATGTTTTTGAGAGCTGAGAATAGGAATGAGAATCAACTGATGGAGTCAAAGAAATAAACAGTGATCATTTGACCAAGTTATATATATATATATATATATATATAATGAATAATTCTAACTAAACGTACACTTTTCAAACTACTTCTAGACTAATAGACACAAAGTTTGTGGGGTCAGTCCACTTGAATTGCCATCAAAATTGATGAGTCATCAATGAACCCCACAATCTATGGATGTAGTAGTGTGGGAGTAGTTTCAAAAGCAGGGAGTAGTTGTCACTACGCATAAAGTATATAAGAGCAAAATTGTCCAGTTACATGCGAAGCACGTGACAACTTTAATTATCATCATGTTTGATTGTTTGGTGCCGAAAGATTGCGGTAATTTTCTCTAATAAAAACTTTTTTGGTAGTTTTGTGCAAACTGCCCAAGTTCATGATAGTTCTATGGATTTCTACTCGTTTCTAAGAGACAAATTCCATAATTTTTCCAGAAAACCATGAAAGTTCACAGTAGTTTCTTGAACTTATCCTATATCTCTTACCTCAATTTTGTGCATAGTTGTTGGTAGGTAGCTAATTGTTATCGTTGATGTTGTTATGTCAAAGGTTTTGTATTTCAAGAGCAAAACGGGCCTAAAAGATTCACTAGATGACGCAAGTTCAAATTCAAGCAAGATCAGCTTTAGATGGGATGTGGGTAGTTGCTCGACTTCTTCCGCTGTATTATCTCCATTTTCAATGCCTTCGGCCTCCAGAATTGATTGTTGGACACAGAATTTGCCGAGTTCATCTACTACCACTCTCCAGAGTTCAAGCAGCAATGTTAGCACACTTGATACCCCAAATAGTGAAGAATGTAGCAGAGGAGGCCAATGGATTACCTCAGACTGTGACTGTAAGAACTTTTTTTTTATTTTAATTTTAATTCAAATCTCAAGTTTTCGCTAACTTTTCGAGGTTGAGGACAGACACTAATTCTCTGCTCAACTTCCTGTTGTCTACAGTCGTGGTGTTGGAGCTCTGAAGCTTGCTTGCTGTTGGAATTCATAATGCCATAATCTGAGCAAGTTGAGTCGTATATCAGTTGACGGTAGATATGGGGGGCGTTCATTCCCTGCCGCAGTGCACCGATTATTAACCTTGGGAATTTTGTATTGTAGCTAGAGAGTAATCTGAGGCAAATAAATTCCAGTGAAAATCCGTGCACTTTCAACTTTGAGCTAAATTATATATAGTGTAGATGCAGAAGATTGCCAGCAGGGTTTTGCAATTTTGGAAGTATTGAGTTGAAGAGTAACAAGGACAAATTTTCAAAACCAACCCGTTTCAAGTTTTAATTGCAAAAAACGACCTGTTTCTAATTTATTTAGAAAAACCGACCTGGTTTCAGCACTGTCGCTGAAACCAGGTCGGTTTTTCTAAAAAAACTTCAGCACTGTCGCTGAAACCAGGTCGGTTTTTCTAAAAAACTTTATGAAACTTCACGGGAGTTCAACTCTCGTGAAGTTTACCACGCTTTTAATCTTCACGGGAGTTGAACTCCCGTGAAGATTATTTTCCTCAATAAACTCCACGGGAGTTCAACTCCCGTGGAGTTTGTTGTAATGTTTAAAACTCCACGGGATTTCAACTCCCGTGGAGTTTGTTGTAATGTTAAAACTCCACGGGAGTTGAACTCTCGTGGAGTTACAGGCCAAATTTCCCAGAGAATCGCTCTTTGGGAAATTTAGACTGCAACTTCACGGGAGTTGAACTCCCGTGAAGTTGCAGGTTTTACAAAACATGCACAGCCGCCTGCTGCTGTGCATGCTTTGTATACGTCTACCTATTTAACTCATATATACAACTATTTACCTGTTGACAATAATTACTGCAATATATATATTATTTAAACACGCACGAATCAAACAATACGCAAAAAGATCACATATCGAGCTATAATTGATCCATAAAAGTATAGTATTTGAAAATTCATACAATTTACAAATTTTAACAAAATAAGTTCAAATACAACCCAATATAGCTCCTCTCCTTCCTCTCCCTCTCTTCCCCCTCCCCCTCGCTCTTCCCCGCCCCCCGCGCTGATGAGCCTCGACTATCTGAGTATCCGGCTGTGTGTGAGGCTGCGAAGTGCCGGCTCCATCAGCATGTGAAGTGCCGGCTTCATCAGCATGTGAAGTTCCGGCTCCATCAGCATGCGAAGTGCCGGCTCCATCAGCATGCGAAGTGTTGCCGTCATCGTCACGTGGCCGTCGGCGCCGAGTGTACGCTTGCCCAAATGATCGAGACCTGTCCTCACGACCTGCGAACTCGTCGACGTGAGTCTTATGAAACACATGTGCTATGGTTTTCTTGATCCTGCCGAGGAGCCCTAACGCCACCTGATCATGAATCTCAGGCACGGTCGCATCAATATCAGCCTCAATGCTATCAAAAGCACGGACCTGTGAGGTAAATAATTTATTAAGTACTAACTCAAGAGACTCATATCGTAGTCACTTGATATTTGAATGTCGCTTGTCCTGTTCTCCACAACAGGATAATTGCAAATAACATTAAGGTGATACTCACGTGAGTTGGTTAATGTAAGTTTGTGCAATTCATTAACCAACTCATCGAAAGTACACGATTTTGTTATAAACAATGGTCTCGTCGTACCTTCTTCATAAACGGACATATTATTTTCGAGGTATTTAATCTTCCCATCATACGAACACAAAATTACGATTCGATCGTTCATCATTACCTCTGAAGAGTAAAACATTCAAGATCAATATTACACGAAAAGACTTTAAAAATTTATTGTTACTTACAATTAAATCCTATATCAATTTTAGGGAACCATAATTTTTTCTAAATTCATATACCGATTCATATGTCATACATATGTAGTAACACTATTTTTTACATTATTGATAATTTACCCTCTAAATCGACAAAATAATTTAAGTTTTCTTCACATAATTCATAAAATTCACAATTAAATTCTCAAATCTAATTGATGTCATATAACACTAATTTTTAGATTTTTTATAATTTCATAACTTATTCACAATGAAATTCTAAAATCGACAAAATTATTGATAACACTATTTTTTTTAAAATCAATTAGATGTCATACATATGTAGTAACACTATTTTTTATATTATTGATAATTTACCCTCTAAATCGACAAAATTATTTAAGTTTTCTTCACATAATTCATAAAAATTTCACAATTAAATTTTAAAATATAATTTTTTACATGTAATCACCATTAAATAGCGAGAAAATACAAGAAATTAAGAGAAAATCTAATTTTGGGAAGAATATATCCTCAATTTGTCGAAATCCGGCGACGACGGCGGTTCCGGCGGTCGGAATGAGGTGCCGACGGTCGGAAAGGGGTTCCAGCGGTTGGATTAGGGTTCCGGCGGTCGGATTTGGGGGGCTGCGGTCGGAACTCACGTGGACGGCGGCGGTTGGGCAGGCTAAAATCCCCAGCGACTAACTCGCTGGGAAATTAGCCTGCAGCTTCACAGGATTTCAACTCCCGTGAAGCTGCAGGCCAGATTTTCCAGCGAGTAGCTCGCTGGAAAATCTGGCCTGCAGCTTCACGGGAGTTGAAATCCTGTGAAGCTGCAGGCTAATTTCCCAGCGAGTTAGTCGCTGGGGATTTTAGCCTGCAACTCCACGGGAGTTGAATTCCCGTGAAGTTTATTAAGGAAAATAATCTTCACGGGAGTTCAACTCCGTGAAGTTTAAAAGAGTACTAAACTTCACAGGAGTTGAACTCCCGCGAAGTTTCGTAAATTTTTTTAGAAAAACCGACCTGGTTTTAGCGACAGTGCTGAAACCAGGTCGGTTTTTCTAAATAAATTGGAAACAGGTTGTTTTTTGCAATTAAAACTTGAAACGGGTTGGTTTTGAAAATTTGTCCGATAAAAAAAACCAAACGTTAATTTTTCTCTACGTATCAAGAGTATCACAAAACAGAAGGTTCTAAAGTGTAACTTTTAGAAAGTTTAGGTTAAGTGGGGCCATTGACAAATAGAGTGTATTTATATGCAACCTTGGGCAAATAAGAGGATATCATCATGGGGCATTTGAGTGCATGATTTTAAAATAGGAGACATTAAATTATAAGTTGGGTGAAATTGAGAAAGTGTCTAGTAAAGACAGTTCATGGTATTAAATGTGCATTCAAAGAATGTTAATTGTTGGACTGGCATGAATCTCTAAATTTAAAGATCTAACGGTTGATATATTTTGGATGCACATTTAATGATATTTTTCTGGTGAAACTATAAGGTATTTAAGTGCAATTTAGCCCATGTAATTATGGTGTCTGACTGTCTGAAGAATGATTAGAGAAGTATCATAACCATAATAACAAATATAAGAGAAATGCTTTTTACAGCAATCTATTCCTTTATACAAAAGGGAGAACCAGAGAGGTACTGTTCATGCTACAGTAAACGCTACAGTAGATTTACTGTAGCATTATTACTGTAGTAGATAATTAATCTAAAAAATTACTGTAGCACATGAGTATACTGTAACATTTAAAAGGTACTGTAGCAGAGCGGGATACTGTAGCATTTCCAGAAAATTCAAAACAGGAGATGTTAAAAAAGCGGGATTACTGTAGCAAAAACCGTGCTTTGCACGGACAGCAGACTAGTATATAAGTAAATTTCACTTAGTGTAAGCGCAACAAATATAAGAGAAATGCTTTATTGTTATAATTTTCATTAGCATTAACAAAATTATTGTCACTCTTAAAGCCTTTTCACTGCAATATACAAGTTTTAATACTGATAATCTGTCTGCTTGCCCGTAGAGTAATGATGTTTAATCTCTTTCTATATATTTATTTTGTCCGCTATCTGAAGTGAGACAATAAGAGATCAATTCAGCAAGAAAAGTCTGAATTTCACTATTTATATATTTCACTAAAAAGCATAAAGTAAGTTTACACACACAGATGCCAAATACTACTAGATAATAATTTAAAGATTGGGTTTTCTATAGAGTGCCCATGGGCACTCTATAAGAGAGGAGAGAGAAAGAGAAATGAATAGCTCATG